ATATACAATATGGATGTCATATCGAAGATAATCAAAAGATGATTAATTTGATATATTATATATGTAAAACCGATAAGAAATACAAAAGTTATCAACTTTTAAAATACATTTACAATTCAATAGTTAATTGTAGAAACAAATCAAAAGTCAGGGATATATTAGTCACTTAGTGTCTCACTATGTAAAATTACAAGGAATAAAAGGGTTATATTAGTACAAGTGATATTAAAATACCTAAGTTAGCTAAATAATGTTTATGGAATGTCCAAACCTAGATTATTAATTATTAATATATCAATATTATTTGTCCAACCCTAATTACGAAGCATGATTATTCGTCAAGTATGATTCCGAAGCACCAGAAGCAGTCACGTAAGCTCAGCGCATTCATAATACTAGTTTAGTTTAGCCTAGTTGTAGCAACAAATATTATCTAGCCCAATAATTAATTAATATGATATGTATTGATATGTATAAGAATACTAGTACTAATACCCATGTACAACATGGGTATTGAGTTAATAAATATATGTGTAAAATTATTTATGTCTAATACTAAACCTAATTCCACAACAAAATTCATATAAAAACAACATCATGAAACATAGATCTTCGCCATGTCAAGATACGAAGCGTGAGAATCTGCCACCTAAGCTCAACACGTTTTGAATTAATATATAGGGAGGGATTGTATGGACTAGGGAATTACCATGATGAGTTTGTTACTTCGTTATGTATTGAGTACATAGAAATGGAAGAAACATATTTTGAAGTAGTACAATCTTTCCCTCTCTTCTCGTACACAATTAAAATACACCACAATTATCATTGAATACATAATCCCATCACCATCTTAATCTTATTACAATAAAAATTAGAAAGTAACAGCATAACAAACTTCAATGCTATATCTTTTGTACTGTGAACTTAATTAGAGTTTTTTAATTGATAAACATCAACATAAGGTTTTCACAATAATAATACAAATTATTATTTGCCATACTTTTTGTTTACAAACCATTAATACATTTTGCTAGTCATTCTCGAGTGCTCCATGCTTCAGGTCGTCTACCGATAGGTCGTCCATACTTAGTCGACTTGCTTCCTTTTCCCCAAGTAGCGTTCTTCATACGTCGAGCTGAGTCTCCTGACTCACTTCTTTGCCAGTCGACCTGCTTTACTTAGTGCTGGTCCAATTGGTCCAGTGACACTGCAGTGACACTGCAGTCTATGACTATATCAGAATGGTTATTTGAAATTTATTTTTATCACCTACTTTTTAGTTTGTTACTCGTTTATACATGATATATGTATGGTTTAATTTTTAATGTTGGATTTTAAAAATATAAATAAAAAAAATAAAAGGTGTAGTAAATATGTAAAATGACTTTTTTTTTTTCTATAGGTCGTGTACATTCGGAATGAAATTTATTTAGTTTCAATTGTTCCGTTTGAACTCGTTTATTTAGTTTCAATTGTTTAGTTTGAACTCGTTAGGACTACCTGTTGGTTAGACATGCTAGTCTGTCGAGTTAATTTTATTAATTTAAATAGGACTAATAGATTTATATTTACTTTTTATGTAAAAAAAAATAGTTATACTTATTTCTCGTTCATCATGAAATATACAATTATTTATATTATTTTATTTTTTTGCCCTGTCAATTTTTTGTTATTTTGCTGTTATTTTTAAGAAAACATATAATAGAATTGCTCATTAATTAAAAATAAAGAGAGTGATTGTCAGGAAAGTGATTTAAAAATATTTTTATCTTGTCATATACATTGATTAAAGTTTCAAAACCTGTTAATATCTTCAATGTATATATTATTAGCATGTTTTGAAACTAACTTGTCTTCACTTTTAAGTGCTTAAACTCAAGACAAAATTAGTTGAGATTTTTTCTATCAATTTTTCTATTTTTCTGGTATTTGCTAGTTAATGGTCAGTTGCTACTGCAAAAAGGGTGGGTACTAAAACAATAAAACTTGAGCAACAGTGAACATAACACACCTGGGAGTTTATGAATTATAATCAAGGTACATACCCAATATTTTAATAGTCTCGCAATTGCACGAAACATAAGCAGGTCGAAATAGTTACTACAGAACTTGAGAAACATTCGGTTCTCAAATGCAAACATCAGTGCTTACTACATAGTAAGATCTCAAGCAGTCAAGCTAATCACTCAACAAACACTCAATAGAAGGCAACCTGACATGCGTTGGCTCCTACCTCAAACAATGAAATTCGAGGAACATTCAGCCGTTTTCGTTTCAAGACCTTAGTACACTCACACCATCCCATAAGAACCATGAGGTAAGAGAAAAAGTGACTCTCGAATGCAACCGGGTGCTTGTCTTGCACCAAGACACCCCCTATGGCCCGATCTGAAGCGTCGATCCTCGAATGGTTTGTCGAGCTGAATGGAAGGCAAGCTGACATGCATTGGAACCTCGCTCAAACAATGAAATTCTCTGAAGCGCTTGGAATTCCGTTTCCAGATCAATGCCTCTATTAGGTGAGGTAAATATTTCCATCCTCTTCAATACTCGAGAATTCCTTAAAAGATATCTTACCATGTCAAATTGATACTCTTTGAACTGCATCCACTTCATTGTATAGTTTTTAGACATGATAATAGGCATCTAGGTACTTGTTTGGGCACTGGACAAAAATATCCCTCTTTAATTAAGATCACCATGCAGACACTAAAAGGAGTATAACAAAATGAGTAGAACAAAAGGAGCTATTGCCGTAAGAAAAAACGAGAAACGACGATATGAACTCACTTACAATAAGGACTTGAAGATTATCAGCAACTTCAAGGAACTTCACAAGCAAACTCCATTTGAAGTTCAAAGGGAGTTCAAGTTTAATTAAATTATCAAACTTTACATCTGAAAAAGCAATTCCTCTGTGAACAAACTGAAACATTAACACCACATTACGCATATATACAACAACAAAGCCAAAAACTAATTGATCGACAGGCCTTCTGAGAGATTGAAGAATAAAAACATACCTCCTCAAATCTCCAACCTGATATCTTTAGGCACTTTACATAACACAGAGAATGAAGAAACTTCACCAACATGGAATTGCAACTTTGTAAGCCGATATGCGCCTTGACTAATGAGTCCATGGTTATAGGAACTGTTATACACTCCAAGTCACAGCCATACACTTGGAGATACCTAAGGGCCGGGGCATTTATTATCATCCTATATTTAAGTTTAGATGGACAAATCAAATCGTAAAGATGTAGCTCAAGCATCTTTATTATGGGTGATGATATATTTACGCAGCCCGCATAATCATTTTCTTCCACAGATGAGAGCGCCATATTCAACTCCTCAAGGGATGGACAGTCGGAAAGAAAGTGAGGGAGGGCTTCATCATTCTCGCACACAACACTAGAAACACGAAACTTCTTGAGGCTAGGCAATATCAGAGAGTGACGCTTCATAGAAATCAAGCTTCAAGTCGACAATGGTTTTGCAGTTGAAGAGGTATCGAGGGAATGTATCAAACTCAAATTCGAGATGAATATTGAGATAAAGATTTCGGATACTACGGTCTATGGCTGTTGTAATCAATGTCTCCAGTTGATATTCGTTGCACTTGACGCGATTGAGTTTTAAAGTATCCATTCTTTTTGCCTTGTGCCGCAATAAAACCCTGTGGATGATGTCTGAGGTTCGTCCTTCTTTCCTGAAATTGCCTTCACGGAAGTCCAAACAGGGTACATGAGCCCATAGAAACCTCCATCTTTTTCCGAGAACGCTGGTTGCCACTGAGAGCTTTGTCTCAAGAAAAGAGAGAATGTGGCATATGACGACGTCTGGCAAGCTGCTGAACCTATCGATCGAAGCCATGTTTTGCTCTCCATCCGAAAGCTTTGGGGGCTTTCCAGTTGGGTGTTGTCTGGTTTCCTCCATGTAAATTCTGACAAAGGGCAACTGATTTTCACAATCACACACCAAGGCAGTAGCATTCAGAGGGTACTAGGATTCAGATATATTGTCTGTCTTATGAGCAGTTAAATAAATTTGAAGTCTAATTTGAAGAAGATGATGAGAGCATTTATATATATAGCAACTAATGTAGCTAAGAAGTCGAAAAGGGCAAGAGAGAAACCTGAAACCTGAAGCCTGAACACGAAGACTCTTGCAATTCCTATCGCCACTGGTCGGGAATTGGCCGGAGTTGATGAGATGAATTGGAAAGACGACGATGTGGAAGTGGATTTTGGGGCTCAAGGCTATCGCCACTGGTCGGGAATTGGCCGGAGTTGAGGAGATGAATGGGAAAGTTAGACGACGACGTGGAAGTGGATTTTATGGCTCAAGGACACGCGTCTATCAACTGATTCTGTTGATGTTATTGGGCTTATAAATTCATTTACTTGTACAAATTGGGCCGTGTATAACTGGAAAAAATTTATAACTAATCTTTTTTACAAAGATTTTACAAAACTGTTAATAGCTACACACAGTTCTCAATCTACTACTCCAAAACAAAACTGCTTGAGAAGGAAGTTAAATCATTTCAAAATTCAACTGATGTCTCTCTCTTATCTAATTGTTCTCTTTCTCTCTCTTACATCTCATTTCATTTTCTTTTCTCTCTTCTTCTCTTTTATTCATCATCTTCGTCTTCTCCTGAAAAAAAAAAAAAACAATTGATCATTTATATATACATACATAATAATTAAATTAACTAAAAAGCAAGAAAAATTGTAAAAATTATATTAACTAATTACTCTTGGTAAGTTCCCTTAACTTTCCCTTTGACATCGAAACATAAAAAAAAATCTTTCAAGAAGAAATATTTTTTTAAAAAAAATTAATAATAAAGAATAAAATAAAAAATAGATACATCAAATTTGGTGGATAGGTGTATGATAGTTGGTCACATCTTGGCATTGTAAGAAAGAGCAAAATACACATAAAAAACAATAATAACAAATAAAAAAATTATAATAATTAAAGTGCCCAAACAAGTTAGTAGACACAAACCAGTCAAAAACAACTCATTTTATTAATATATAAAAAAAATTAACAATATAACATTTTCAAGCAACATAAAAATAACCTCAAAGCAACACAAAAATAGCGTAAAAACAACATAAAAATGGGTGCCCACAAACTCGGTAACCTGCTCATTGACAAAAATAAGATAACATCTATAAACTCTTTTTCATTGTTGGAGATGAAAAACAAAAAAAAAA